TCTGTGACAATACCTAGACCTGATTAGTTTTGGGTTAAAATCAGATAATAATAATTACTTAATTTGCATAATAAATCATAATTTTTGGTTATAATCACATTTCAATGAAACTTCGTACATAGATGGTCTGTGACAGTACTTATCGTAATTTAATGAATCTTGGTACATATATACTCTAACAATGCGATGATCAAATTAGTTTTAGGTTTATATTCATCTATAATAATTACCTAATTTGCATAATAATTTATTTTTCAGCTTTCCACTAATTTAGTTAGGATTAATCATCACATTATATTGAAACTTTGTACCCTGAAACAATATACAGACCTAAATATATGCATAATAATTGCTTAATTTGTATAATAATTCATTTGGTTCATTGAGGTAATCCACAGACATGATTAGTTTAATGTTGATAAAAATGCATGTTGATTATCTATTATTAGCCCATTTCTGATATCTAAAAAAATCAGATTTAAATTGAATTCATTGCAGAGGTGCTCTGGAATAAATTAGACTAAAAACCATGAATGAAACATCAAATGTATTTTCTGTATGTATTATAAATTTTGATAATGTGAATTATATTGTTTTCATGTTTTGCATAGCAGACAAAAATTAGTTGCCAAGTTTCTTGTTTGAAAAACAAATCTTAACTTTTGAATTAATTTGAATGTGTCTCCAATACTCTCTCAGCACATGGGAGTTCTTTCTAAGCTTTCTTTGATATTTATTTTATTTATTACTTGTTTAATAAAACATGGTTCCATACAATCATGAATGTATCTTGTCTATTATTGTGGTCAAATAACATACCGTGGAATGCTTTATTTGCACTGGCATTTTATTTTCTCTGTTTTACCTGAAGTCAATTTTCTGCAAAATAAAAATACAGCTTACTCTATACGTTGCATTGCGTCTTAATACAACATAGTGAAAATTAGATCCACACTGCCAGAAAGTTGATTTCAGCAAAAATAAATTCCAGAAAAAATAAAGTATTTTACAGTAATCGGCATTATTGCAAGCAACTTTTCTGAGAATGTTTCTGTTTTAGTCTGTAAAATGTATTTAAACTAAAACAGCTAAATTGTCAGAGATGTTGCATGCAATACCGCATTTGCTCTATTGGTAGCGTATGTAAATAACAGAGGTGTTTCTATGGTCAAAATACGTCATATTTTAATAAATCAGTATACAATCAATGCAATTGTTGCCGTACATGTGCTTCTATTGGAGATGCTCTTCTAATAGAGCATATATAGTACATACAATCTAAATGCAACCAGAGTGAATGCAGATATTAATTTTCCCAAACCAGAATCATTGACATCCATTTATATATGACCTAGACCTGGTGAAGCAACAATCCTTTTTTATGAAGAACCCTTCACTTAGCAAATTTTTGTTTTTTAATTCTAAATGCAACCAGAGTGAATGCAGATATTAATTTTCCCAAACCAGAATCATTGACATCCATTTATATATGACCTAGACACTGGTGAAGCAACAATATTTTTTTATGAAGAACCCTTCACTTAGCAAATTTTTTGTTTTTTAATTCTGACCACCCCCTCAAAAATCAAATGGTCAAACCCTAACGCCGCCTCACGTGTGGTAATACAAGGTCATCAAAGTTGAAATCCAAATTATCTCAAATGAATTACATACATCAATCGTGATTGCTCACAAAAGATGATTAAGTTTTTGTAAAAGTGACTAAAACTCACCTCAAATTCGGAATCCTCTATTGATTGCACATCGGTTCTAACATTACTTGCAGCCATCTTGAAATTACCAGGAACGATGAGTCTGGCGCATGCGCAAAGTCAGACAGCTATTTTTGTAAGCCGCACTATGATTGGTCGAAACAACTCGTCGAAAACTGATCTCGTTGTACGAGATTTGTATAGGCATTGAATCAGATCATGGAAGGTGATCATGGAAGGTACTACCTTCCATGATT